CTCATCTTTCTCCCGCGGAGCAGCTGGTAGTTTCGAACCGCTGACCTTAAGGTTCGCAGCCCGATTCGTAACCACTACGCTACCAGAGCTCCTTGGAAGTTCGTTTTTATGGTTAGTTGTGAAGTATTAACTTTCTTTGGGATTACCTTATAGTCTATTAACTTTTCTCTTCATTTAAGAGAATCTATTGTATCCTGGTAACATAGTGGTTACGAATCGGGATGTGAACTGCAAGGTCACCAGTTCGAAACTGCCAGCTGCTCCGCAGGAGAAAGATGAGGCTTTCTACTCCTGTAAAGATTTACAGCCTTGGAAACCCTGTTCAGGGTCTCTATGGTTTGGAATCAACTCGATGGCAATTAACAACAGCAATAATTGTGTCCTGTAATCTACCTGACATCATCACCACCTGGATCTCTGTTCCTACACTTATCCCTTCTTTGACATTGATATTATTTTGGTCTTCGGTTGACCTCCCACTCCTTTTAGTTAGTTGTTGTAGTTTTGTTCTGTTCTGAACTCTCCTATCTGTTGACTGAGTTCCAGGTGGTGTTGCCACACCTATCAATCTTTGATTTTTGTCTGTTCTTATTGGTTTTCAGTCCAAAGAACTCCCTTTAGTATGTTTTGAAGTGCTGGATTGGTTTTGACAAAATCTCTTAGCTTCAGTTTATCCTGGAGTGTTTTGATTGCACCATCATATTTGATTGATAGGTTTAATGGATAGACAATTCTTGGTTGGCAGTTTTTTTTCTGTTAGGGTTTTGTATATGTCTCCCCATTGCCTTCTTGCTTGCATGGTTTGTGCTGAATAGTCAGAGCTTAATCTGATTTGCTTACCTTTGTATGTGACACTTCTCTCTTTAGGATTCTCTTTTTGTCTTTGATTTTATAGAGCTTGATTATTGTATGGCTTGGTGACTTTTCTTTTGGTGTCTACCTTTCCTGGGGTACGTTGAGGTTCTTCAATGTTTATCTTCTTATTTTTCAAGATGTTAGGGAAATTTTCTTCCAGAAACTCTTCAACTATCTCCTCTGTGAACTTCTGTGATTTTTCCTGTTCTGGGATACCAATAATTCTTAAGTTGGTCCTCTTCATGTTATCCAGTATGAATGTTAGACACTCTTCAGATTTTTTTAATCCTTTTTTCTGCTTGCTCTTCTGTCTTAGCAGTATTGAGAGATTTGTCTTCTAGCTCACTAGTTCTGGCTTCCATGTCTTCTACTCTTCTCCTTTCCCCTTTCAGTTCAGTGTATTGTCCACTTTTGATATTTTATTATTAATCATCCGGACCTCTTTTTGCAGGTTTTAATTGTTTCCAGTGCTGTATCAATCTTGTTTGATTGCTCTTGTAGTACTTTCCTGACTTCTTCCTTGTTTTCCTCCATCCGTTTTTGAAGCATTTGAATTTGTTTCCATATCATTCTTCTGAATTCCTTCTCTGGCAAATCTAAAACCTGTTCTTCGTTTTCTGGGGAGCCTATGTCTGTCTCCAGTGCATTTGTCTCAGTTACTCTTTTCTGTTTTTGGGTATGTTTTGAGATCGTTTGTTGTGTTTGAGATCTTTTGTTTGTCATTTCCAGTAGTTATGTGGGTTTTTCATGCTTAAATAGATGTTTGTTGTGTTATTAAGCTTAATGGGTGTCTCTTGGTGGATATGATCAGGAGATAGGCTTCCCTTTTCACATGTAATGGCTTAGCAGTTGTTATTGGCTCTTGTGTCAGTGATGGAATATTATGTGGTGTGTTTATAGCTTGGCTATATGGCCACGATTGCTGTCTTTTCTTGGACAACATTGGAAGAAAAACCTCCCACCTCCAGGAAAAACGTGTGATCAAAAGGCCTAAAAGCAGAAGCAATATAGAAGCGGAGACAAAAACTACCACTTTGAAACAAAAATAAAACTGTGGCTGACTATCCAGTCGCCTTGCTACACAGGCAGTGTGTATGTACCGTACAAGCCTCCAGAAGTGGTTGGGGGTGTCCGTTCCCTCAAGCCCCTCCTCTAGTTTCCACCATGGAGGTGTGCAGATAGATATTGAGAAGTTAATGGGAGAAAGATTGTCTACTATTTTTGTCTCTAAAGGTCAGTTAGTTATCTGTGTGTGCACAGCATAATTCTCGAGATAGTTGTGTCCTTTTATGTTGGGGTTTTACAGATTGTTCTATTGTTTGTCTGTCTGGCATGACAGGTCTGCTTTTTTCCTTGCTAGATAGGCCTGCGACTCTAAGGCTGACGTCATAAGTAGCCGCCAAGCTCTTTCTCTCTTTACCATGGGAAAACTGTGGGGTCAGCGCTGGACTTTTTTTTTGGAGAGGGGGAGGGGCATGCGCTCCTACCTACCTGAAAGCATCTGGACTGGGCAAAGAAGGCACCACAGGGAAGAGGAGAAAAAATGTGTGGAATTCTCTTTACCTCCTTTTTTTGCAAATGTCACTGCACTGCTTTCAGAGCTGGTTCCCTGTGCCAGTCTGGCTGTAGCCCCGCCCTCTGAGCTCCGCCCGGATCGGGTAGTCGCAGAGGTAGTCCCCACTCGAATGATTCCTAATTCACAGTATTTTCCTTTATATTGTGATTTTTTTTCACTTGCACGTGTGGGAAACTGACATCCTGGATCTTATGGTAGACCCAGAGCTCTGGTATTGTTCTGTGAGTGCAACTTCTCTGGGTTTTCAATCCCTTCCCCAAGGAGACTTTCCTAGCTGGCTGTCTATGCTGCTGCCCAAACTGGAAGCCTCTCTTTCTTCTTTGAGTGTCACATAGAATCCTAGGTTATTGAGTTATAGTATACCCACTCTAAGAGTGAACTGATTTTTAGGAAGTTTATAACAGTGTGCACTCATAACTGTAGTCAACTTTGGGACATTTCCGTCATCTTAAAAACTTTCCATTTATATAGTCAATTCCTGCTCCCATTCCCTAGCCCCAAGTACTCACTGGTTAGCTTTCTGTCTCTGTAGATTTGCCTTTTCTGGATATTTCATAAAAGTGCAGTCTTTTAATATGAGTCTTTTGTGTCTGGCTCTTTTCACTTAGCATATTTTTAAGGTTTATTCATGTTGTAGCATGCTTTAGTAGATCCTTTTTATTACTGGACAAAAGTATATTTTATGGATATACTTAATTTTGGTGTTCCATTCACTAATTGATGGACATTTGAATTGGTTACAGTTTTTGGCTATTGTTAATAATGCTGTTATAAACATTAATGTATTTTTATGAACTTGTATTGTCATTTAGATTCCTAGGAATGGAATTGCTGAGTTGTCTGTTAAGTATATGTGTAACTTTTAAAGCATGCAGTAGATTGTTTTAGAAAGTAACTTGGATAAAGTCCTATTTATAGTTTTCTTTCTTTTATTAATGCTGATTTTGGTGTCATATCTAAGAATTTTATGCCTACCTCTAATTCGCAAAGATTTTTTTCCTGTATTTTCTAAGTTTTATCGTTTTAGAGTGTGGTGCTGTAGGATTAGTGCTGGACTATGAACCACAAGGTCAGCAATTCAAACTCACCAGTTTCTCCTGGGAAAACCCTATACAGAGTTCTTATGAGTTGAAACCAACTCAACAGCACTTAACAACAACAACAGCTTAATCCATTTTAAGTTAAATTTTGTGTATGGTGTAAGGGAAGGATCTAAATATGTTTAATTATTCTTACTATACTTTGCATAGGATTCTTGAACTTTTATTTTTCTAATTAGACTGGCTCCTTTGTCCTTTGTACATGTCTCTGTTTGTCTTTGAGTAGATCTGTGTTTTGGCTTTTCTTTCTTCTACTCCATGCTTGTAATCAACCATTTCTCCATTTGGGTTCTTGGTTCCTTTAGGTGCATTAAGCACGATTGGTGCTCCTTTAGACTGGAATAGTAATTGAGTCTAATCCTTATAGTGAACACTGCTTTGTAATATAACTTTAAAGTCATGAGTTTATATCGATGTTTTTCATTCAGCTGCAGATTTTGCTTCTTTGATTTTGTATTTGTTTATCTGGTTTGTTGCTGAAAATATTTTTCATTATTATCATTGTAGTGTTCTGTTCAGTGTTTTCATTCTTTCATTGACCCTTTTTACGTCCACATGATTTCATTTTATGGAGGTCTAATCTTGTGTCCATTTAACTAATGAGGTGAGAAGCCAATGAAATCACCAGAGTACAGAGGGAAAAATGTGTAGAACATTTTACATGGATAGGAAAGCTACTCTTTACAGATTATGTGAACTAAGAGAGAAATATATTTTCAACCCTTTTCCACCTTGTTTTTTTCTCACTTTGTAGTTTGGAATGGTCAGCTGTCATTGTGGATGAAGCTCATAGGATCAAGAATCCAAAGACTAGAGTAACGGAAGTTATGAAAGCTTTAAAATGTCATGTCCGCATAGGCCTCACTGGAACGATTCTTCAAAACAACATGAAGGAACTGTGGTGTGTTATGGACTGGTGAGTGAAAACATATTTTGGGGGAAATTATTTAATGCTCTGATAGTTTATTTCCTGGTTTAATATTTGTTAGTATATGAATAAACCAATTATTTGTCTATTTAAAGGAGTGTTTGATCCCAAACATGCTATCTCTGGTAGAGCATTCCATGAAAACTTCTGCACATAGCCATTTCCATTGTTTATGTATTTTTATATGTATTGTTTTGCTCATTCTGAAGCTCACCAGTGTTTTGTGAATCTTGCTTTGATTTCCAATGGTAATATTTTTCTGTGTTAATATAATTTAAATCCTATCTTTATATATTAGTATCAGCATCTCAACTACAGATACTAGTTAATTTACCAAATCTATCATCTTTTTATAGTTATAAACTAAACTTGTCATAGAGAACATTTTATTTGCTTGTCATCTGTTATTGCTGTCATCAGTAAACAAGTGACTTCATATAATTTTTAAAGTAAAACGTAATCTGTCTTTTTTTTTTTATTAGATAATTTAAATAAAGCCCTAACAATTTCTTATTGCCTTTATAAAGGGCTGTGCCAGGTCTTTTAGGTAGCCATGTCCACTTCAAGAAGCAGTTTTCTGACCTGGTAGAACATGGTCAGAGACACACAGCAACAAAAAGAGAGCTAGCTACTGGTCGAAAGGCCATGTGCAGACTGGCAAAGAAGATGTCTGGCTGGTTTCTCAGGCGAACCAAAACTCTCATCCAGGATCAACTGCCTAAGAAGGAAGACCGGGTAAGAACTGCAGTTGTGTATAATACTAATTTCTTGTTATCTTTTTCCTAAAATTTTCCATTTTAAAAGGAAATTTTTTTCCTGTGCCTCCTCCCACCCCCACCCCTGGTGTGGAGAAAGAAAAAATGAAAAAAATTAAAATGTTACATGTAAAATTCCAGGAAATATTAAGTAGGCCAGTTTCATTCCTTGCTCATTTTATTAACCTGTTAGCAGGTTTATTGTTAGTACACAGTAAACACATTTCTCTGATTTTAGTTCAGGAAAATAAGAGAATTTAATACTAATTCTTCCTCAGTGAAGAAGGAACTTTTCTCCCTACTGTGTTTTGCGTTCACACTCTGTTCTTCCCACACTGTCCTCTGTCCACCACCTGGTGTGTCCTTTGGTATATACAGGGCCCAAGTGGTTAAGAGGTTTTTCTCCAAAGTCTTATTTCTTTAAGAATGCCATTTGTTGTTGCATGAATGACCTAATTTTAAGAATTTGTAGGGAAATTATATTGTGTTAATTATTCAAGAATATTTGGGTTGTTGACTTTCAAAGGATTTTTTTATTTTTTTAAGAATTCTCTTTAATAGTTTTAAATCTTATCATGTCTCTAGGTTAGAAAGTGGAATACATTTTCTGTAAATTTTTATGAAGTAAACCTGAAAGATGATTATACAAATGGACTTCACTAGGTGGAATACACAGAAATCAAATTAATTGCATCTGTGGAAAGAGAGGCAGGGAAAGCTCCATATCATAAGCTAAAACAAGGCTAGGGGCAGACTTTGGAACAGACCATCAATTGTTCATATATAAGTTCAGGCTGAAGCTGAAGAAAATTCAAACAAGTACACAAAAGCCATAATATGACCTTGAACATATCCCACCTGAATTTAAAGATCATCTTAATAACAGATTTAATGCATTAGATGCTAATTATCAAAGCACAGAAGAGTTGTAGGATGACATCATACAAGAAGAAAGCTAAAGCAAATAAAAGAAATGAGGAGGTAGAAGAACTGAGCAGAAAACTTCAAAGGGCAGCTGTAGAAATCACAGTCATATATTTTAATGAAATATGCAAGTACCTGGAGTTAGAAAACCAAAAGGGAAGAGCACGCTCAGCATTTCTTAAGCTGAGAGAACTTTAGAAAAAAATGAAGCCTCCACTTGCAATACTGAAGCATTCTATGGGCAAAATATTGAATGATGCAGAAAGCATCAGATCAATATGGAAGGAATACAGTAGTTACTGTACCAAAGGTAAATAGTCGATTCAACAATTTCAAGAGGTAGCATATAATCAAGAGCCAATGATACTGAAGGAAGAAGTCCAAGGTGCACTGAAAACATTGACATAGAACAATGGTCCAGGAATTGATGGAATACTAGTTGAATTCTTTCAACAAACTGATGTAGCACTGGAGGTACTCACTTATGTATGCCAAGAAATTTGGAAGACACCTAGTTTCCTGGCTAACTGATTGAAAGAGATCCGTATTTGTGCACATTCCAAAGAGAAGTTACCCAATGGAATGTGCAAGCATCAGACAATATCATTAATAGCATGTACAAGTGAAATTTTGCTAAAGATAATTCAAAAATGGCTGCAACAGAGGTTCAAGCCAGGGTTCAGACAAGGACATGGAAAGGGGGATATTATTGCTGGCATCAAATGAATCTTGGCTGAAAGCAGAGAATACCAAAAAGATGTTTTCCTGTGCTATATTGACTACGCAAAGGCTTTCCCCTGTGTGGATCATGACAATCTATCACAACATTGCAGAGAATAAGTATTCTGGAACACTTAATTGTACTCATGAGGAACCTATACATGGACCAAGAAGCAGTTGTCTGAATTTAGGGACACAGAATGATTTAGAATCAGGTAAGGTGTGTTTCATCGTTGAATTTTTTTACCATACTTATTCAGTCTGTATGTTGAGCAAACAATCTGAGAATCTGCATTAGATGAAGAAGAACTTGGCATCAAGGTTGGAGAAAAACTGATTAACAACCTGAGATATGCAGATGATATAGCCTTACTTGCTGAAAGAGAAGAGGACTCAAAATACTTACTGATGAAGATCAAAGAATGTAAAGAAAACAAAAATCCTCACCACTGGACCAATAAATAACATCATGATAAATGAAGAAAAGATTGAAGTTGTGAAAGACTACATTTTGCTTGGATCCGTCATTAACATTCATGGAAGCAGCAGTCAAGAAATCGAATGACATTTCGCATTAGACTAATCTGCTTCACTATTGTTGGTTTGAGGACTGTGGTGCGCCTGATACAAGCCATGGTATTTTCAACAGCCTAAGATACATGTGAAAGTTGAACAGTGACTAAGGAAGACTGTAGAAGAATCAATGCATTTGAATTTTGGTGTTAAAGAAGAACATTAAAAGTACCATGAACTGCCAGAAAAACAAATATGTGTTGAAATAAGTATAGCCAGAATCTTCCTTAGAAGCCAGAATGGCCAGACTTGGTCTCACATACTTCAAATATATTATCAAGAAGGACCAGTACCTGAAGAAAGACATTATGTTTGGTAAAGGGGAGGGTCAGCATAAAAGAAGACAACCTCCAGTGAGATGGATTGGCACACTGCCAATAGCAGTGGGTTTAAGCGTATGATTATTAGATTGACACAGAACTGGCCAGGGTTTGGTTTTGTTGTGCGTAAGATTGCTATGAGTTGGAACTGACTGGATGGCACCTGACAACAACAACAAACCTAATTAATGTGGTCTTAAATAAGGGAAATTCTATCAGATGCCCTCTGTTGCTACTGTTGTTGTTATGTGACATCGAGTCAATTCCAATTCATAGTGATCCAATAGAGAATTTACAAAGCTGTATATCTTTAAAGGAGCAGAAGATCTCATCTTTCTCCCATAGAGCAACTGGTGGATTCACACCACCGACCACGCAGTTAACAGTCTTGTGAATAACCCACTGTGCTACCAGGGCTACTAATCTTTGGATGTTCAGTTGATTAGTATTTTTTAAAATGTACTTGAAAGGGGAAAACATATAGATATGCACGTTGGGAAATTGATAGCAACATTTGATTTTTTTTTTTTTTTTACATTTCTCTAAAGCAAATAAAATTAGAATAAGTATGAACATCACCTTTTACAAACTTTATATAATGTAACTGTATTTTATGCAATTATATACATATATTTTATGCAATTATATACATATACTCTAAAAAGAGAGAGAGAGCATGAGAGCGAGCGAACTCTGGTAGCGTAGTGGTTACGAATCGGGCTGCAGAACTTAAGTTCAGCAATTTGAAATTATCATCTGTTCTGCGGGAGAAAGATGAGGTTTTCTGCTCCCGTAAAGATTTACAGCCTTGGAAACCCTGTACAGGGTCGCTATAGTCGGTTCCGACTCCACAGCACATAACCACCACCACCATATATATTTTTTTTTTAGTTATGTAATGGAGAGCCTCTTGGTAATGCAAATGGTTACGTGTTTAACTATTTAGAATTTTGGCACTTTGAGCCTACCCACGGGCCCTTAGAAGACAGAGCTGGCGATCTGCTTCCGAAAGCCTTGCAACCCCACCAAGTGCATACCTGGGATCATCATGAGTCTGAATTGACTTGATAGCAGCAAAAATCTAGTGGGAACAACAAAACAGTAAATATATGACAAGAAAGTTATACGTAGAGGTTTAAGGCTTGAGCTTCAGGAATCAAGTATTATAAGCTTGAATCCTGACTCCACTGTTTATGAGTTTTGTAACCTTGAGCAATTTGCCGAGTCTCTCAAACCCTGGTTTCTTCATCTTTTAAATGGAAATGATGATAATGATGCATACCTAAACATGGTTTTGAAATGCAAAACACATCAGAACTGCCCAGTGAATATTACTCTATTTCTTAATAACCACAATCCCAGAATACCCTCCACCCTTTAGTCATGGATATGAATCTTCTATTTCTCTTTTGATTTTTCATATGTACTTTTAGAATTTAAGGTTATGATCAATATATACCTAATATACATTGCCTTATCAAACATGATTTTATATAAACAATAACCAAATCAAATCAGTTACCTCAGCAGATAAGCACTTAACCATTGCTCCAACAGGGCTCCTTCCCCCAGAGCTTTAGTGGCATGGTTATATCATTTTCTGTTTTTGAATTGAGTATAAAATAGCAACTTGTTTTTATTTGAATTTACTTAATTCGTATCTTTACTGATTTTAGGAGTCTATTCCAAGATACTAAGTATAAATACTATTTTATCAGTTTCCAATATTATACAAAGTGTTTTTTTAAAAACCTTTTTTCTGTTTCCCAGTATTTCAGTAAATATTATCCATCCCATTGTTCTGAAATCTTCCAGTTTTCCTTATCATGTTTTTTGTTTGATCTTAATTGTAGTCATTTGTTTATGTATAGTTGGTTAATATGGAAGGAACCCTGAAAAGTCACATAATATGTCAAGAAATATATAATTGAACCACACAACTTGTTTTTCATATATTGATGCCCTTAAATTTAAAAACAAGTGAATTCTTTGAGATTTGTTTGAAAATGACATTTAATGTAAGATAATTGATAGAAACTGTCCTAGCAATGTAACCATTGTTGTTAAGTGCCTTCCAGTTGGTTCATAGCAACCCTGTGTAGGGTTTCCAAGGAGCAGCTGATGGGTTTGAACTGCCTACCTTGCAGTTAGCAGTCCAGTGTTTATCTAGTAGGACTCTAACAATGTACCCAGAGGAAAGAAAATTAGATTATGAGCAAGTTTCACTATTATTCATAAAATTCAATGTGCATGGTGATTATTATTGCTAGAAAAAACTGCTGATGATTGATTACCTGTGTTTTATCTTAACAGATGGTATATTGTTCTCTGACAGAATTTCAGAAAGCTGTCTATCAAACAGTGTTAGAAACAGAAGATATGACTTTGATACTCCAGTCTTCAAAGCCTTGTACCTGCAACAGTGGCCGAAAAAGGAGAAATTGTTGTTTTAAGGCAAGCATTACAGTATGATATCTTAACTATCTTGCCTTTAATTATCTAGTTCTCTATTCTAGTGTCAGAGTAAGTCACAAAATAAAATAACTTTTTCCCAGGTAGATCTTTAATTTTGGAAGTTGTAAAAAAAAATAATCATTTTAAAAAATATTTTAAGATATCTAATAGTAATTGCATGTAAAATGCAATACTCGAATATCTTTAAAAAAATTTTTATTTTCAAAGTAGACTTCAATTTTATATTCTCCCTTTAACTTTTCTTGGGAAAGATATTGCTTTCATCTTGAAATTTTATTTAATTTTCAGAAAGTTTCTTATGTATTAATAGTAAACTAACTTCCTCTTTCATAGACTTGAAATGTTATTCTGATGATATAAGTGTTGGTTTAATATAAACTGTACCAGTAAAATGGAGAAAGTATGTATTTAGTTTTATTTAGAGACACAGCTATACTTTTTACCTTTTGTCTATATTTCTTGCTGTTTTATCACCTCTCTGGTTTATTATCCAATTATCTATTTCCTGTTTATTTATAGATGTGATGGTAGTGGTTGTGTGCCATTGAGTTGGTTCTGACTCATAGCAACCCTGTGTAGGGTTTCCAAGGCTGTAAATCTTTACGAGAACAGAAAGCCTCATTTTACCCAAGGATCAGCTGCTAGATTCAAACTGCTCACCTTGTGGTTAGAAACCCAACTCACAACCCACCATGCTACCAGTGCTCCATATATAGAGGAGCCCAACATAAATATCTATCTAAACTGACACCTTGTCCATCTCTTGATTATTTGGCTGCATCTCCCCACTTCCTTTTCCCCAGGTGGTCTTACAATGTAGATGGGAGGAGACAATAAGGAAATCATGGCGACACTTCACCAGAGAAGTGTATTACTGGGGACCTCTTAGCTGTGTCTCATGAGGTTTAAGATGTTCTGGAATGGGTTTTTCCTTTGATTAGAAACATCATTGCAGTATCATTGGCAAAAAGTTTGATTCTACATTAGTGAGTCACACGTATTTCATCTAACAGTTGGCTTTTTCTCAGAATAAATACTATTTTAAGTGATATATTTTGTGAGGTAAGCCGTTACATATCTTTGTTAATTGTCTCTTTTTTGTTTTCTGTATTTTTCTGGTTACAGACCAATTCACAAGGTGAAACAGTAAAAACCCTGTATTTCAGTTACCTAGCCATCCTTCAGAAAGTAGCAAACCATGTTGCTCTACTTCAGGCTGCAGGCACCTCTGAGCAGCAGGTTTGGATCGACTTTTTCATTTCTTTATGATGCTATTTGGTACAAATATTTCCTATTTGGTATAAAATTTCTCCTAAAGGAGCCCTGGTGGTACCCTAACCACTCTGAGTCAGAATTGACTCTGTTGCACAAAAACAACATAAAGTTGCTTAGCCAAATAGCATTAAGATAATTTTGCGTAAAACTTAAGAGGAAACTGACTTGATCAATTTTTAATTTAGGTGCCACAGAGTTTGCACACTTGGCTTTTTGATCAAAGTGAGAAATTTTAAGTTTTAATTAAAATAAGAAGTTTCTTTTATGCCTCTAATAATAGTCATATAATTATATTCTCTTACATCCTCTGGTGTAAGTACTAAGTAAGATTTAATGAGTTATATTCCACTAACGATGTGTCTAATGACGTGTATCTAACTACTGAATTAAAATGAAGATTGATAATCAGCGTGTTAAATGTTAAAAGCTTTCTCTAAACTGAAAAATCAATAATTTCAAAGTCTAGCCATAAATGTGGTCATTTATTTTGATGATCGTTTTCAGTTGTTTCTTATTCTGTAGCACATCAATAAAAAATCTTTTCTAAATGCCCTTTTATTTAATTATCTTTTTTTTTTTTTTTTTGTATTTTAGTCTTACTGCTGTTTGAATGCAATTTTGAAATTTACTAAGAATTTAGCATTGTTTTTTGATACTATTGTTTGCTTTTTGGATAATATTTAGGTCCTTGGTTTGGAAATCTCAAAAAAAAATAAATAAAGTTAGTAGTCATATCAACATCTAAGATTTCAACAAACCCATATATACTTAACATAGCACTTTCAAGTTTTCTGAATTATTACCATGACTTAGAAAGAGGCAAAATCTTTCTAAGTAATATATTTCTTCAAAATAGGAATGTCTTTTTCAAAGGCAATTTCAGTTTATATAGGTTTACCAATTTTTAGTTGAAATTTCTTTTTTTCTACCTTTTCCCTCAAGAAAATGCTTATCAACAGACTATGTGATCAGGTATTTGCCAGATTCCCAGATTTTGTTCAGAAAAGCAAAGATGCAGCCTTTGAGACGATTTCTGACCCAAAATACAGTGGAAAGATGAAGGTAAATGTTTTTTCCTTTCAGATGGTATACTGACAGGGAGATTATACAAGATATTTATCAGATGATTTGGCAGGAACATCAGTTAATCAGAACAACTACCCAATCAGTAAAAAAAGAGTGTTTATTGCCTGCACACATCACTTTTAAACAGTAGTTGAATCAAATGGACTTCACACTTTTCCTTATATTTTTATTAGATTCACGGCCTCTAAAAATGTGTGCTGTTACTTGACCACAACTGTTCAAGGACATACCTACCAGAAATAAATGTAATACCAAATAGGAGGATGGGAGTTGGTATTAACTTGGAATTAGAGAAAACAGCGTCTTGAAGAGTTACAGGTGGACTAGACTGAATTTTCTGCCTCTTCTGTTTTACTTGCCTGCTTCAGGAACCCTGTACAGGTTTTCTGTGAGTCGGGAACTGGCTTCACAGCATGCAGCAGCAATTTCTTGATAGTCAGATGCATGGTGGCTCTGTAAGATAAGTGCTGGCCTGGTAATCACAAGGTCAATGGTTTGAGCCCATCAGGTGCTCTGCAGGAGGGAAAACGAGGCTTTCTGCTCCTGCAGAGATTTACAGCCCTGGGAACCCTATACAGGTTCAGTATGAGTCAGAACTGACTAGATGGTACTTAACAACAACAACATCTAGATTGTAAGATTACTAAATCTTGACGCCGATGGCATGGAACATTGACTTTACACAGAGGAACTGACCTGTAGGTGTGCTGTTCTTGGTGATGTATCCATAAAGAAGGAATATGAAACATCAGACCTCTGGGCATGGCCCTGCACAGGAGCCATACAATGCTAACAGTTTTCAGCCTCTTCCAAACACAATTAGTTTTGTTTCACCCCCTACAAACTAGTAAGAACCTGTACATATGGATTAATTGTAACTAAGTTATAATTTGGAAAAAGACAATCATTTCTTTTGGTACATGGAATAAGAAGTAATCAAAGGAATTAAGGTTTTTTTTCTCTCTCTCAATATTCTGGAAACATTTTAAACAGTTATATAAATTCACTAGAGCTTAAAAGTACTTTAAATTGTTTTAAAACCTGTATTTCTTTTTAAATAAATAAGTTTGTATTTGTGAGATATTTATTCTCACAGCAAATAATTTAAATCCAATAAATTTTATAACAATAATGATTATATTTTTATTAGCCACTTTATTGACATTTATTTAAATACTTATAAGTGAAAAAATACAAAAAGACCAATTAGTTTAGAACTGAGCTCTTTGTTGTTGATAAGTGCCATATAGTCGGTTCCAACTCATAGTGACCCTGAAGAGGTTTCCAAGGAGTGGCTGGTGAGTTTGAACCACCGATCTTGTGGTTCAAACTGACCTTTTGGTCTGGTGCAGTATCCTACAATGATTAGTCTGTAGTTTAAGCCAATGAAATATTTCCAGAATTCATGACCTGCTTTAAAAGCTGCTTTACCCATTGCTATTCATTCAAATTGTATTCATCATGACTCCTCACTGGAAAGTTACACTTGTGAAATTAAGTGCAGTGTTAATAGCTCTGCATTTGGTTTTCTTATATGCCCATAAAAGAATGGTTTATTTTATGGGCATTAAAAACAAAACAAAAAGAAAAACACATATATTTGTTAGGGTTCTTATCTAGGAATAATGCTGTCTGGTTAAGGTAATTATCAGATTGACTTTTTATTATGATTTTTAGAAGGGAAAGGCAAGCATAAATTGTTGCTGGAGATGTGAAAGAAGAAGGTAATGTTTTTTGAGACAACACTGACAAAAGAAACTAATAGTAATAAGCCAGGGAGATAGATATGAGAGTTTGTTGTTCTTGTTAAGTGCTGGTGAGTCGATTCCGATTCATAGCAACCCTGTATAGTGTTTCCAAGGCTGTAAACCTTTACAGGAACAGAAAACCTCATCTTTCTCCCAGAAAGCGACTGGTAGATTCAACCGCTGACCTTGTGGTTAATAACCCAGTTTATAACCCACTATAGTATGCCAGGGCTCCTATATATATGTTATTATTAAGTGCTGTTGAGTCGGTTGCAACTCAACAGCACTTAATAATAATCCTATTGCTACCCTGCATAGGATTTCTGAGGAGTAGTTGGTGGATTTGAACTGCCAACCTTGCAGCTCAAACCAACCTTGGAGTCCAGTGTATCATCCTGTAGTGCCACACTAGGACTCCCTATACACACACACACATATGTAAGTATAAATATATGTATTTAACTTGTTTTTGTGTATTAAGAGGTTTACAGAGAAGATCATTATTTTTACATTCAACAAATCATACACTGTGTTTCATCTCAATGATTGTAATCTGTTCCATGAAACAATAGTTGTCCCACTTTCTCCTTGTGGTTTCTATTTCCATTCCACCCTCCTTCCCATCCCTTCTCAACTTTGTCCTTAGGTAAATGTTGTCCTTTGTATCCTAAATGATTGACCATTCCATGGTGAGCATACTCCACTAGTGTAGTTGTCCCCTTATATACATATCTACAGTTTGGCTGAAAATTGGCCACGAGGGTGAGTTCCTTTCCAGACTTGAATGGTGATCAAGGACCATAGTCTTGGGTTCCTCTAGTCTTTTTCTGACCAGTGAGCCCCATGTTTCTTTTTTATAATTTTGTTCCACATTTTTTCCCACTCTATTTGGAACCTTCTAATCCCTTTCAGAAGGAGCTCTGGTAGCATAGTTGTTACGAATTGGGCTGCAATACGCAAGATCAACAGTTTGAAACTACTAGCTGTTCCGCAGGAGAAAGATGAGGCTGTCTGCTCCCGTAAAGATTTACAGCCTCGGAAAAACCCTGTACAGGGTACAGGAGTCGGAACCGACTCCACGGCACATAACCAACCAACCAACCAATCCCTTTCAGAGCAGTTGATAGTGGTAGCCAGGCACCGTCTTAATTCTTCTGGTTTCACAGTCATTGTGACTGTTATTCACCTGCTCATTGGTCCATTGGACTAACTGATGCCAAGCATCTTCAGTTTTCATCATAATTCTTTCGTCTACACATGGAGAGACCAGTAGTTGCACCTCATGAGCTTTTAAGATTTCAGTCGCTACTCACCAAAGTTGGGTGTAGAACGTCATCTTTGTGTTATGCCAGTTGGCCATGGTGTCTGCCAGGGAAATTTTAGATCTGTGTTTCATCATTTGTGTAGCAGCATGTCCTAGTGTTTGGTTTACTGATCTGGTGATCCAAAATATGTAAGCTTGTCATGAAGTTATTGCAAATGGATTTGTTGTTGTTGTTGTTAAGTACCGTGGAGTTGGTTCTGACTCATAGTGACCCTGCACAGGGTTTCCAAGGCTGCAAATGTTTATGGGAGCACAAAGCCTCATCTTTCTACCATGGAACAGCTAGTAGTTTCGAACTGCCGACCTTGAGGTTAGCAGCCTGATTCGTAACCACGACGCAACCAGAACTCCTAATCCAAATGGATTTAGGAGCCACAAGTAACTGAAGTTTCATGTAGTTCTGTAATTCAGGTTATAAAAGATCCTGGAGCTGCAGGGAAATGTCAACATTACAACAGCATTAGCCTCACAGCCACAGGGCTGTACTGATGAACTTTAGCTCTTTCTCTGAAAAGGTAATGTCCTTGTTGGTCTCAGCTACCATTCTAGGGGATGATCACAGATTGCTCTCCTTCCCCTGTTCCTTTCTTCCTTTTGGTAAATTCCAGAGTCACTGGCTATAGGGGGAAAAAAAAAAAAACAAAAAACGAAAGAAACACTAACTAGGAAGTCCTGCTCAGTGGTGCTGAAATTACACATGGGCTGCTTTCAGCTTTTCAGACCTGTCTGACTAATCTGAGAAAAATTGGTACTGAGATTCCTTAGCTACTAACATGCCCAAAGTTTAGACTCCTTTAAGGGTAGATTTTCCTGTCCGGCCAAGGACAATTAAATGCTAAAGTGTTGGGTCTCTGATGTTAAGATTCAAACCTGTATTATCATTTTTGAAAATTTCTGGTCAGGGATATTAATGTATCATTATTCATGTAGTTTATAATCTGTTTTTGTTTTGTTTTTTAACTAGCCTACTAAAGACCTCTAGTTTAAGAGTATTCACTTTACTTATGACTTGTTTTTGGTTTTATAACATTCAAAAATGCTTAAAATCGCAAATAGTTGCCACACAACTCCAAGCAATCAGATTGAATTTCTGTATACTATCTCCTTCACTAAATTGTTAACAATTTATATGAAATGCAAATGCACACGCTTCATATAGAGTCTCTGATTTTATTTAAAAGCAAAGGCTCATACAAATAAAACTTGCTTTATATGGTTTCCAAATATTTAAATGCTATTTGCCTAATCTGTGGCATTTTAATCCACTTTTTTGATAGGATGTCAGAATTAATTTATTTTTTAGATTTCATAGCTTTTTAAGAGTAGGGGTGAAAGTTAGCATAATATAAAGATAATGTTATTTTCTTAAAAGTTTACATCTGAATAAATAAAATTTCTTAAGTGTTTATTACATAGTTCAGAAAACCCTTAGACTTAGTTTTGTTTTGTTTTTTCCTTTTGTGGATTGCTTTCTCATGGTGCTTTGAAGCTGTCATTGCCAGATGTGGAAATGCCTCTTTAAGAAATAACAGTATCACCATTATACACTAGGCTTTGGATTATTTGCTTCCTCCCAGAAAACACTATATGTGTGGACAGATTATTGGCATTTTGGGGTCAGAATCGAATCTGGAAGTCAGGGCTTACTGTAAATAGAGAAACAGAGGGGAGAAAGTGAGAAGTATAATTCTGACTGCTTACTCAAAACAAAATAAATATCCAGACTTTTAGAACCTAGATGTAACCGAACACGTTTCCTTACCTCTATCTAGAGAAAATTTAAATACTTCCTAAAAGGAATGCTGCTCTGTCATTTTGTATCTTAACATATTGTAGGTATAAAGAGAATGTAGTTTGTAAATTACATTAATCCATTTAAGCACATCCCATAATCTAAATGCTTCCTTTTGATTAAAACCAGATGAAATGAAATAAAAGGTTTTGGAAACTTTACCTACTTACTGACAATATGATTATGAATAACATCTGATGTCATATTTAATACTTTATTTCTCTAACTTGGCAAAAATGAAGAGAATTAGAATAGGTGACTGAGGTTAGTTTTGTAGAAAAATAACTTTTATGAAATTCTCAAGTGGCATTTCTCTGTATAAAGTGTACTTTTAGTTGGAACTGGCCTCTGATGTTCTGCGGTTCATTTCCAGGTCCTTCAGCAGCTTTTAAATCATTGCAGAAAAAATAAAGATAAAGTCCTTCTTTTTTCCTTTTCCACCAAGGTGAGTTGTGTCTGACGTATATGCTTGCTTGGCCCCAGCCACACTTTCTGGTTAAACACACTGTAGTATTGGTAGTGAGGTGTGAGCAACAGGAAGTTAAAAAACCTACTTAGATCTCACTTACACCACACTTACTGTCAAACAACAAACTCAGAGATATACTGTTATTTTCTCTGGATGTTTTTGTGGTTAATAACTGTTCTTCAAGGTGTTTTAGCGATTTTAGAAGTTAGAAAGTGGCATAAATCATAAAATATACATGATTTAGCCTATAATTTTCTCTCTCTATGGCTTTATTAGTTTCTTTTAGTTTGAAAAATGGAGACATTGTTTTCTCCTTTGGAAAGATTGACGTTTTTTAAAAGCAAAGGTTGATGAAAGTTAAAATCAGTTTCAGGATAATGTGTGTGAGTGGGGGGGAATAAGTGGATCAGAAGGGAGGAAATGATCTGTTGCTACTATAAGAGAGGAATTGTGAGCAACAGTCGCTTGATCTCCGTAATGGCATGCACACTCACTCAGTGCAGAATTTGTGCCTGTCTGCCTACCTGTCTCCTTCTCTTACCTGCAGTTGCTTGATGTACTGCAGCAATACTGTATGGCAGCTGGGCTGGATTTTCGACGACTTGACGGAAGTACAAAATCAGAGGAAAGAATCAGGATTGTGAAAGACTTCAATAGTACACAAGATGTTAACATATGCCTCGTCTCCACAATGTAAGGAAATAAAAAACAATAACTTTGTTTCTGTCTGATTGCTTTTATGCTTTAGAATAGTTTGTTGTTGTTTTAATGATCACTGTATCACTCAATGTTGCTTTGTTTTATTTGGCTTAAGGAAAAGCAGGGGGAATGCTATTATGATTGAAATAACAATATCTTGAGTTTTAACTACCTTTCATTTCCTTTATCATCACTGAATTCTCCTTACAAGTCTGGGTTTATAAAGATAACTATAAGAAAATAGATGCTTCCTCCTAGGACTTTTCTGTGGGGCTATTTTGGCTCCTGGCTTGTGGTCAGAACAAGCCCACTTTTTATTAACTGGGTAACTGAGCATTGTTTGTAGCAATGACTTGTCCCCTGTGCTCAGAAGCCCTAGAGAGCCCATGGAGCCAAGTGGCCAGATGTCTTCAGTCCTGTGCCTCGCCCTTGTCTCAACCAGACCAGCTCCATTCTTCTAGGTTTTGTAAAAGGTAAAATTGGCTCTAATGAAGACCTTTTTAAAGAGTATACATGCTTTAGAGAAAGACTTAAAATGAATATAAACACCTGAATAGAGTGTATCCATTTTTCAGATTCTTAAATCCATCAGTTTTGATATCTAATAGATAATAAGAATTCTGTAGACTCAATCCCACTCTCTTACAGGAAGAATTTCAAGGGACTTGATCAAAATAAAAATCACTTCAAATAAGGAATAAGATACATGCAGTGGGTGATTGCTGTTGAGCACTAAAATTATTTTTGAATTCTTGTAATTGAGACAAAGGAGAGAAGCTATGTGTTTCTACATTCCTGTGAATGAACTTCAAGAAGCAGTTTCTCACATGAGTCCTCTAATACAAACATTAGATGACATAGGAATACTGTCTTCAGTTGTGTTTGTAAAATAATTACTGTGTAGTGGGCTCCGAGGCATGACGACTCAAAGTATGTATAACAGAATGAAGTCTTCCCCAATGCTTTGCTGTCTTCCTGATGATTGTGATGCTTGAGTCCATTGACTCAAAACACCCAGGTTGTTGCTGTTGTTAGGTGCCATCAAGTTGTTTCTGACTCATAGCAACCCTATGTAGGCAAAAGGAAGCACTGCTTGGTCCTGTGCCATCCTCACACTTGTTGATGGCTTCCGCCCATTGTTGTAGCCATTGTCAGACCATCTCTTTGAGGATCTTTCACTTTTTCACTGACCCACTACTTTACCAAGCATGATGTTCTTCTCCAGGGACTGGTCCCTCCTGACAACATGTCTAAAGTGTGAGAGATGAAGTGTCTCCATCCTGGCTTCTAGCAAGCATTCTGGATACTTCTTCCAAGACAAATTTCTTTTTCCTTCTGGCAGCCCATGGTACTTCAGTGGTCTTTGGCAGCATCATAATTTGAATGGATCCGTTCTTCTTTCATTTTCCTTGTTCATTGTACAGCTTTCATATGCATATGAGGTGATTAAAAATACCATGGGTTGAAACAGCTGTACCTTAGTCCTTAAAGTGACATCTTTGCTCTTCAACATTTTAAGATCTGTTGCAGCAAATTTGCCCATTGTTATATGTCATTTAATTTTTTTGACTGCTACTTCTTTGGGTGTTAATTGTCGATCCAAGTAAAATGAAATCCTTGACAGTGTCATTCTCTTCTCCATTTTTCATGATGTTGTCTATTGGTCCAGTTGTGAGGATTCTTGTTTTCTTTACATTTAGTTCTAATCCACACTCTGTTGTTGTCTTTAATTTGTATCAGTAAGAGCATACAAGATGCAAAGTTAGGAAAACTTCTTAGCCATAATCAAATACCTTGAGGGAATGAGTAGAGGTGCCTTGAGAGCTCAAGAATGTAGTTTCAGCACAGGGTAGGGAATAGACACAAGAAGACTTGGGTGCTGGGGTTGGGGCATCGGGTAATACACCAGAAGGGGGAGGAGAATGGAAAAACAAGGCGGATGGGAGAACAGTTAGGCAGGTTTGCATGGGCTAAGTGGGACAGAGGTAAATATATGCACAACCTTGGAACAACAGGGCTTCGGGATGCAGGGATTGAGGCATGCTTTGAAAGGGGAATAATGTTAAGATGATACTTCAGGATATAGGGATTGAGGCATGGTTTAAAAGGGGAATAATGTTAAGATGCTTGGTGTCTTTTGAATCTTGGTTTCCCTTGCCTACCATTGTGAAACAGACACTTGGGGGCGGGGGTAGGAATAGCCAGAAACATCACAATACAAAGCTTATAAGTCCTTCTTCAGCCTGTAACCGGTTGGAATACCTTAAAGGGGACTAGAAGTTGCCCAGTGAAAGAGACCTCCTGTGGAGCTTGTGCGTTGCATAAGACCATGGGTGGAAACCAGAATCCCATCCAGAATTGTCTGAGGTAGGAAATTTCCACTGGAAAGGACGAGTAGACCAGCCTGGAGTGGCTAGAAGAACAGAAGATACTTCGTGAAGAAAGACCCGCAGGAAAAATTGGAAATAATAATGGCAGTATGATTGATTACTATAAGAACAAGTAAGCTATTTGCCTGGGAGCCATCAAGGCAAGTGGTCGAGTCCCCTCAGAGCAAACTCCCTTCCAAGACTAATAATTTAAGACTCAAGGGGAATACACGAGCAGGCATGTGGTCTGGCTGGTGACCACATTGGTCACCAACAAGGGGAAGATGGGGAAAAAACAGCAGTGAAGTTGGGATCTAAGTCTGACCATATTCAGTAGACTCCTGTGAATCCAGGCGGAGACCTGGATGGCCAGCAGTTAAGGCATGACCCAGGGACTCCTGGGCCCAGAGGCAGTGACATGGCCACAGAGGACTAGAGCGGAGAGTGAGGCATCCAGCTGATATGAAGTAAGGGCGATACACAAGAACACCCATACTTGCAGATAGTACCCACTTGACCTGGCTTCGATCTCTGGATGATCAGAGCTCAACTAGAAGAAGAAAGAGGAGGAAAAAAAGAGTAATCTGATACAGTTTGATGAACTTTACCTACACCTGTGGATGCAGTAGCTGAAAAGAGGGAACAAATCTTTACAGCAAGGATAATTCCCACCCCCTATCTAAGCAGAATTGACAGGGATGGGCAACTTGGACATTGGCTACCCAAAGTGGGGGTGCTACAAAGGCAAGAAATGACTGGCTTACAAGCTTTCAAGAGGGAACCTAGGTTGAGAGGGTGTGGAGGAAGGTAGAATCTCCACTGAGCAGTATCCAGTCTGTCTAGGTGGAGCTGATGAAATGAAATGCGGATAGGTCTTTTGTGACACAATAGTGAATAATTGTTATCAGGACCGATTGTGAAGGATGGAAATGTGTAAAGGTAGACATTTTTAGCAAGGAAGGGAGTAATTAACTTTGTAGTCTAGGAGTGGAGGTTCCTGGGACCATCAAGGGGAAAAAGCAGAGAGTGGACTCCTACCCAGAGAAGAAGTGATGCCAGAGGTGGAGTCAGAGACCATGACATAGAGAGATGGAGCAGCTGGGGACTTTAGACCCAGAGAGGTAGAGAGGCTGTGTGCTGACGACAGGGGGGCAGGCTTGTAGGGTATACACTTTGGTTGGTTGATGATGCATGGAAGGGATTGTAACCATGGCAATGACGATAGGATGAATGTAAAACTAATGTTCTCCCTTGTAAACTATCATATAATTCACAATAAAACATTTTAAAATAAAAAAAAAAAAAAAAAAAGAAAAAGATGGAAGGAATGCACATTCTCTGTGCCAAAAAGAATTAGCTGATGTTCAGCCATTTCAAGAGGCAGCATATGATCAAGAACTGATGGTATTAAAGGAGGAAGTCCAAGCTGCACTGAAGGCCTTGGTGAATAACAAGTGTCCAGGAGTGGACAGAACACCAATTGAAATGTTTCAACAAAGTGATGCAGTGATGGAGGTACTCACTCAACTATGCTAATTTAAGAGTTTTGGTAGATACAAATTTCTTCATCCCATGATGTCAGTATACAGATTTTCCTTTCTAGTTTACCCTTGTAAAATCTGAGCACTCTGTAAAGAGTAAAGAGGCTATTTATTCCCATTGAGAGATGCTTTGACTGTGTAATGGTGGTGTTGGAATGGATGAAAGTGAACAGATTCAGGATCTGTTTTGGAGATGCTAGTGGTTATCAGTGGTGAGTTCAAAAAGATAATGAACAAGATCTTCATTTGTCTAGCTTGAACAGCTGCTGGTTAATGGCTTATTTACTATGTTGGACAAGGAATAGATTTTTAAGGGAGGATCCAAAATTTCAATTTGGGATATATTAACCTTGAGATGTCAAACTAAGTTGTCAAGTAAGCAGTTGATCCATGAATATAGAATGCAGAAAAGAGGTTAGGACTAGTAAAGTAATTAGGAGCCATCTGATAAGGTCGTCTGGAGAGAGTGTGAAGAGAAGAAGAAAAGATGACTCTTAAGGTAATGCAATGTGTAAAGACCACTTAGAAGAAGAACATGAAACAAAGTAGCAGACAAGAATTACCAGTGAAAGGAAAACATTTTTTACAATGATATGCCAGGCAAGGTACTAATCTCTAAAATTTAAAGAAAACGACATCACCTCTGCAAGAAAAAGACAATTCAATTTAAAAATGGGCACAGGACACAAATGGCCATTTGACCAAGGAAGACATTCAAGTAGCCAGCAAACCTGAAGAAATGTTCACAGTCATTAGCCATTTGTTGTTGTTAAATAAATGCCTTCAAGTTGGTTCCAACTCATAGTGACCTTGTATAGGGTTTCCTAGAAGCAGCTGGTAGGTTTGAACTGCCAATCTTGTGATTTGAAGTCCAGTTCTGATCCTATAGGATCATACCAGGAGTCCAGCTAGCATTAATAGCAGAGTTTTTTAAAATGGAAAATAACAAATGCTTCTTCCTGTGTTGCTGGTAGGACTTTAACCACTGTGGAAACTGGTATGGTGCTTCCTCAAAAAGTTTGAAATATAAATAATGTACAACCCAGCAGCCCCTCTACTTGGTATGTATTTCAATGGACTAATG